GGAAAGAGAAATCCCCTGGGGAATGGGAGGGTGGTCCTACCGGCAATCCCTTCTCTTCCATTCTCCTCCTGGGATTTGGGGCATTTTGAAGCCACCAGGTCAGGGACTCAAACTGCTGTTGGTCAGATTAGCAGAGGAGCATAGTTTTGAAAGTGGCCTCCTATGTAAAGGAAAGACGCTTCCCCTGCGTGTCATATGAGACAGGCGTCCGTGACTTTTCCGTGGAGTGGAGACTGCCTTTGGGAGAGGTGTGATTTTCTGGTTGCTGGGGACTGAGTCCTAGCTAGGGATGACACCAGGAGAAGGGAGTCTCGGGTTTTATTTCCAAAGGAGCGTAGGTGCTGTCTCATAAATATCTCTACTATTTTACAAGCAAAAGGTTGAGATGCCTCCTTCTGTTCCCAGAGATTCCCTAGACTGGCCTTTTATGTCTGTGTTCCCTTTCAAGCCTGCTCTTAGTACTAAAAACCTCATTTTATCTAAGACTGTGGTGGGGAGGGAAAGGATGAATATACAGTGCGACCTGCTGGGGTCCTGAGTCCCTCAAGATGGCACTGGCAGGGCAGCGGGGAGACATGGCTTACATAAGCGAATCAGAGTTCGTCTACAGGATGGATCGCCCTGGGAGGTGCAGCTGGAGGTTTCAAAGCAGCAAATGAGTGCCGCAGAGCCAGGGGACAACAGCGGAATGTCGGTAAATGCAGGATCCTTGGCAAAACATGAGTGAGTTCTCAGAGAGTACAGAAGCGACGGGACAGTGAAGGGCCAGCCCCAGGTCCTGGAAACAGCGTGCTGTTAGGGAACGCTGTGGAAATAAGAAGGAAGTCCCCTGTAAGAGGAACCCATCTGGGCTCTCTGCCGCATGCTATGACTTGATTTTGTCTGTGACAATAGTGATCAAATCCCAGAATGTCTTTTCCTAACAGGTTGCTACTTACTGAATCATTCATATTTTTAAAGAATTATTTATTTATTCCATTTGTTGTTATTATTTTTTAATTTGACCAGAGAGAGAGAGAGAAAGTGAGAAAGCAAGCTGCCAGGTCCAGGGTTCGAACCTCATTTGGCCATGTGGGAGTCCAACACCTTAATCGCCACACTCCTGCTGGCTCCTACTAAATCACTCTTTTTTTTGAGAGAGAGAGGGGTTTTTGCTATAGGGCGCGTGCGCTTGCCAGACAGAGAGAGAGACAGAGAGACAGAAAGTGAGAAATCACCCCCCAGGGGGGGATGGCCATGCTGCAATCCCTTCTCCTCCATTCTCCTCTCGAGATCTTGGGCACGCACGCACACGCGCCCAGTGTGAGTTTAAGCCACCGGGTCCGGGACTCGAACCGCAGTTGACTACGTGGGAGTCCAGCGACATAGCCATTATGCCAACTGCTGGTTCCCCTCCTGAATCACTCTTAATCTTTGGCCAGCAGTAAGCGTTTGTCACTTTCCAAGCCTACACTTGCTAAGTACTTGCAATGAGTAGAGAAAATTGGTACCACTCTTAGAATAATGAGATCTGTTTTTTCTTTCTCTTATCCTTGGTGTGTTTATTACCATTCAAGTTATCTGTCCATATTATTTGCATCAATTGGGCAGAATAGACAATGTCAGACTGAAGGTTTCTCCTTGCTAGATGGTGCTGAACTATAATTATAGAGGCGCCACCTCTGGAAGACGGGACGTGATCTAAGTCCTGTTCTCGGAGAGGATAAAGGCCGTATCTAGGATATTTTAGGAGGAAAACCCCATGAACTCGAGATAAGAAATAGAAAAAGGAAAACTATAATCCCCCCTCACATTTGGGTTTAGTCACGGGGTATTCATGGTTTTCTATAAATGACAGAAAAGTATATTTTAAAAACTTTACTCAGGGGTCAGCAGATGTCATAGTGGGTATGTCACTGAACTCCCACATGACTTGAAAATCATGACAGGTGCATGTGCGTGCATGCCCAAGATCCCAGGAGGAGAATGGAGGAGAAGGGATTGCAATGTGGCCATCGCCCCAGGGGAATGATTTCTCACTTTCTTTGTCACTGTCTCTGTCTCTCTTTCTCTCTCTGGTGTGCACCCATACTCTAAGGTAAAAACCTCTGAAAAAACAGTCTATTTATATCTTCCAAGGGTAATGAGGAGGCAATAGAATCTTCACACCACAATCCACCCCCAGCCTAAGCTAGCTCAGATTGCGGACACATGTATAGGCCTCAGGAATCAAACCCAAGACCTCCTCATGTGGGCCCAACATTACAGAGTGCTGCATTACCACTCTACCACTACAGCTGGCCCCCTCAAAAATAAATAAATAAATAAATAAATAAATAAATAAATAAATAAATGTGTGTGTGTGTGTGTGTGTGTAATTTAGTTTTTGCTGTAGGGCATGTGTGTGCTAGCCAGAGAGAGACAGAGACAGAGAGAGAAAGAAATAAATCACCACCCCCTATGGGGGTTGGCCACACCATAATCCCTTCTCCATTCTCCTCTTGGGGTTCTGGGCACACATGTACGTATGTCCAGCGTGATTTCCAAGCTGCCGGGTCTGGGATTGGAACCACACAGTTGGCCATGTGGGATGCAGCCACCTTAACCTCCACACCACCTGCTGGTCGCCCCTCAAAGTATTTTTAATTTCGGTTTCTAGCCATTTTACTCTTAGGCTATATTTACATGTTTGGTAGAAGGACCATAAAGTACCCCTTTCTCACTCTATAGTGCTTGGGACTAAGACACGCTGGCCGTTTCCACGCACTCTGTGCAAGCTTGAATGTGGAAAGAGGCAGGTGCGCCGCGGTGGGGTGGGGGAAGGCAGGGTGGCTCAAGACAGTGCAGGGAGGCAGAAGCTTCGACTTTTACTGTGTGTGGGGGCATTCCCGACTACAAGAATGTCAAGTTATGTTCTCTAAACGGGAATGCCTTGTCAAACAATTTTATTTAGGAAGATCACCAGGTACTTTGTATGAAAGTTGTGAGAAGTGCAGCTTTATTCCCTCCTGATGACAAAAAGAGCTCAGAGTACAATCCACCTAGGACCAACAGATGGCATAACGGTACAGCGCTGGACTCCTACATGGTTGCCTGTGGTTCAAGTCCCAGATCTGGTGGCTTAAAACTCACGCCAGGCTCATGTGTGTACATACCCAAAATCCCAAGAGGAGAATGGAGAAGGGATGGCGGCATGGCCATCCCCCCCTCCCCCAACCGGGGATGATTTCTTGCTTTCTGTCTCTCTGTCTCTCATCTCTCTGGCCAGCACATATGCCCTATAGCAAAAATCACTCTAAAAAAAAAAAGAAGAAAGAAAGAAAAGAATATGATCCACCAGACAACTGTGATTTGGTGGTGCACGTTGCGGCAGGGCGAGAAGTGTGTTCAGAGATGTGTGGGACTTGGTCCTCACCTTGAAGAGTTGTCCCATGAAAGGGGATTCAGTCCGGTTCTGAAATAAATCAACTCTGTCCTATGGACTAGATGGTCCCTGTAAGATATTTCAGACACTCGGTAGTAATAAAACGATGTTAATTATTGCTATTGTTAGTAGAACTTCAATGAACCAATAGTGAAAACTTGTGTAACTCAAAGCAAGACTTGACTAAAGAATGATTGAATGGGGGTGGGGGGGATCTGTCAGGATTTAGAGCCTGCCAGACTTGGTTTGAAATCTGCCCCTGCTACTATTTATAATGGCCTTAGATGAATTACTTAATCCTTCTTTCCCTCTGTTTTCTCCTGGTGAAAAGGGAATTCTAATCGTATTTATCTCAAAAGGTTGGCTGAGGGTTAAAGGACATAATACACTTAAAAGCTTCCCATTGCGCTACATCAAGTAAGTGCTCAGTCATTGTCAGTGGCGACTAGCTTGTTATCATTATTTTAAAAATATTCTCCTCTCTAAGCTGAAAGTTTTTATTCAGCTTTTTTTCTCCTAATTGCCAGAGGGCACATGTGCTAACTAAAGAGAGACAGACAGGGAGGGGAGGAGGAAGCACATCTCAGTGGGGGCTACCCTTCTGCTCGGGTGCTCCAGCCTGTCAGGATTTGGGGCATGCCCCCACCTGAGCTCAGTATGTTTTTCAAACCACCAGGGCCAAGATGCAAACTCTGGTCAGCTATGTGGGATCCAGGTACTTTGTGTGAAAGTTGTGAGAAGTGCAAGCTTTATTCCCTCCTGATGACAAAAGCGCTCAGAGTATGACCCACCTAGGATGGAGTGTGGTCACTCTGCAACCCCATTCTCCTCCATTTCTCCCTCCTGCTGTGATGTGAAGCATTCATGCACTTGCACCCAGCCTGTTTTGTAAGCCATAGGTACTGGGGTTCAAGCAGCAGTGGGTCACGTGGGGTCTGGCTCCTTTAACCACAAGGCCGCAGGCCCGCCCCTATAGTCTTTTACAGCAGAATGTTTCCTTATTTTTAGCAAAGATAAATAAGAAAATAAATAACAATTATATTTAGATATTCATAAGGAAATAAAAACACAGATACAGTTTCTAACTCGCAGGCTAGCAGGTGGCATGGTGGTTAAGGCACTAGGTTCCCACAAGAACAAATGATGGGTCGTGTCTCAGATCTGGAGGCTTGAAACTCCTGCTGGGTGCATGTGTGTGAGTGCCCCAAATCCTGAGAGGACAATGGAGGAGCAGGGATCATGGCATGGCCATTCCTCCAGGGAGGTGGTTTCTCACTTCACTTTCCCTCTCTCTATCTCTCTTCAGCAAGTACACATGCCTTATAGCAAAAAAAAAAAAAAAAAACTAGAAAAAATGTTTAATTGCATAGTCTAAGTTAGAAGATTAAAGCTATTATTTCTGAAGATGTTAAGTTGGTAACATCTTAATTTAAAGAATAATTAAGGCCCTAACAGGTAATTATTTTTGCAAGACTTTTATTACTATATACTGGATCGTCAGACAACTCATGATGCATTTTTGCTTAGAAAAACATACATTAAGATTTTTCGACAACCTAACCATTTATATAGCATAAAATTCATCTCTTTTAAATATATACTTCGATGACTTTTAGTATCCTTAAAGAATTTTGCAGCTATCACAATACAATTTTAGGGTGTTTCCATCACTCCCAAAAACTGCTACGTTCATTCGCAGTGGATCCCCAATCATTCCCACCCGTGGTCACAGATGACCACTGGTCTTTGTATCATTAATGATTTGCCTTTTCTGGACATTTCATATAAATGAAATCACACAATATGTTTTATACCTGGCTTATTTTTCTTAGTAATTTTTTTTTTAAGTTCATTTCTTTCATGAGAGAGAAAGAGACTGACTCCAGGCAGTGTCTCTTCACATGGTGGTCCTCTTCCCAGCCTTCCAGCCAGCCAGGATCAAAGGTGTACCCGGGGGCATCCCTGGAATGTTCAAGTTCACTCTGGGTCCAAACCCTGGGTCTCCTCATATAGCTCAGGAAGCTGAAGTAGCGCCCTGCCCCCTGAGCCACCGCAGCTGGGCTTACTCCTGGCATAGTTGACTCAGCATAGGTATTTTCAGTTCTTTTCCTTTTCTGTCTAAGAGTGAATGTATCAAATTGTGTTTCTCTGTTCACAGTTGACAGGCATTTGGATTATTTCTATGTTTGGGCTATTATAAACAACGCTGCTATAGAAATTCATGCGCGAATTTTTGTGTGGACATATACGCAATTTGTCCTTGACAATAATGTCTTTGTGATGCTCCTATGGCTTAATTCATGATGTGTCTCCTTCCACTCAGGCAAATGCAAAATATCTAGTTGAAATAGGTAGCAATGAGGCACAGTAAAACTTAGAAATAGCATCTCAACAGGAATTTTATGTAAACACTTTATTTTAAAAGAAATACTGTAAAATTAATGAGAGTATAACTTTATTTTTAGGTGCTCCAATGTTACCTCAAGGATTACAACCGGAACAAGAACTACAGTTTTGGAATGAGGTAAATCATTATTTTCACCCAAATTAGTAGAAACCTTCCCTTCTTGGAAGTTATCATGGTAAAATAAAACAATGTAATTGAACTTTGGGACAACTATGATTTTGCCAACATTCTGATATTGTAATATTCAGAATTATTATTTTTAAGCAAATAAAGGAGGAAAAAAAAGAAAAAACAAAGAATGCACTAAATGGTAAAGTAAAAGACAAAAATAAGCCCAAAGCGGAGAGTAATTAAGTGAACGTTAATGTGATAAAATATACCATTTAAAAGAGAGAGACAATGAGTTTGGATTTTTAAAAATGATACAGAAATAATATTGTTTATAACAGTCACGCATAAAAGCTAGTCAGTCCAGTATCCTAGGGGTTAAAAAAGCCAGATCCCAGGGCTAACAGGTGGCGTGGTAGTTAAAGCACTGGATCCCACATGGCTTCCTGTGGGGTTCAAGTCCTAGACCTGACTGGTGTGTGTGCGTGCATGCCCAAAGTCCTGAGAGGAGACTGAAGGAGAAAGGATTGTGGTGTGACCATCTTTGTGGGGGATGCTTTCTCGGTTTCCCTCTCTTTCTCTCTCTCTCTGTCTGTCTCAAATAAGCACACGTGTGTTCTAGTAAATTTATATATGTGTGTGTGTAAACATATATATATTCATAAATATATATCCATAAATATATATATTCATAAATATATATATTCATATATATATATATATATATCCACTAACCAGTATATACATTCTTGTTGAGAATATTTGGAGCATTAAAAGAATAGAACATGTTAGAATGGAAAGGAAGATATCATAAATTAGAAAGGATTCATTTAAAATGTTTTCTGATACTGCAATAAAATTAGAAACTAATAACAAAACTATACATTCACTATACAATCTGGAAAATAAGTAGCATTTTAGTAACTAACCCTAGGCAAAAAAGAAAATTATAGAATATTTGGAAATAAATGACAAAAAGGTTACAGCTATAATGGCAGCTAGAGAGATTTGGCTTCATATATATATTTTCTCAGAAAAAAATTTTAAAAGATAATTTAATCATTCAACGAAAACACAAGGGGAAGAGTCTAGCAGGTGGTGGCGTGGTTAAGATGCTGAACCCTCACGTGGCCAACCATGATTTGAGTCCCAGATCTAGTGACTTGCTTTCTCACTCTCCTTTCTCACTCTCCCTTTTCTTTCTCTCTGGTGAGTACATGTGCCCTATAGCAACTTTTTTTTTTTTTTTTTTGGAGAGATTTTCACTGTAGGGCGCGTGCGCTCGCCAGACAGACAGAGAGAGACATAGAGACAGAAAGCGAGAAATCACCCCCCAGGGGGGATGGTCACACCGCAATCCCTTCTCCTCCATTCTCCTCTCGGGATCTTGGGCATGCACGCACACGTGCCCGGTGTGAGTTTTAAGCCACCGGGTCCGGGACACGAACCGCGGTCGACTACGTGGGAGTCCAGCGACATAGCCATTACGCTAACTGCTGGTTCCCCCCTATAGCAACTTTTTAAAAGTAATAATCACAGGAGGCCCAGGTTTAGGTCCAAGGTCAGCCTGAACAGGCCAGGCATGGGTGGACACACCTGTGATCCTAGCTCACTGGGAGGCTGGCCAGCAGGATCACAACCTCAGACCCTATCAAAATGCCTGTCTCTTGTCTCTCTCCATCTCCCTCTCTCTCTCTGTCTCTCTTCCTCTCTTTCTCTCATAAAGGAAAAAAGTATTACAAGCGATTAACTGTGGTGATGGTTTCACAGTTCCGTAAATACAATAAAAACCATTGAATTATACACTTTAACTGGGTGAATTGTGTGGTATACATAATTCTTTTAAAAATATTACTTCATTTGCAATAGCAATAAAAATGATAAGTATTTAAAAATTAACCTAATTAAAGTACATAATAGTCTTTTGAGTTTTTAAAGTTTTTTTTTTTCCATAAGAAGCATCCACTTGTCAGAGAAAAAGAGGCAGAAAGAGGGAAAGCGAGAAATCGTCCTCCAGGAGGGATGGGCACACCGCAATCCCTGCTTCTCCATTCTCCTCCAAGGATCTTGGGCAGGTCCTTATCTCCAGCATGTCTCAGGAGAGAGCGGGCGGCCCCCAGGCAGGTGTGCACACACAAAAACTTAGCTATGAGAAGGGAAATGCTAAAACTCGGGGAGGGGAAGAGTAAATTGTCTGTTCACTGTACAAAGAAAACTGAAACGGACACCCTGCACAGAGAAGGGCTCCAGGTGGGTTAAAGGCCGAAATATTATGAGTAAAATCAAGAGGCTGAGTGGAGATGCGGTGGTAAAACAGGATGGCCTGCAAAGCTGACCCACATAAGGAGGTTCTGCATTCACACTGCAGACCACCCTGGGACAGAGGGCATGTGTGTGCCCATGCTCTGGGGCTGGCTGGGGCTTGGGTAGACCATGGCATCGAGAACCTGGTGGGGGTGTTATTTCTCTCTGTTTCTCTTTGTATCTGTCACTCCTGGAAGAAATATATAAAATAATAATAATGAAGTGTGAAATCATAGTTCATAGAAAATGATGTAGGACAATATCTTGATGAGCTAAGAATAGGGAAGGACCTCCTTTTTAAAAAAGATTTTTGTCATAGGGCACATGCGGTTGCCACAGAGACGAAAACATTGATAGGGAAAGTTAGAAACCACCCTATGGGGAGATGGCCATATGGCAACCCTTTCTTCTCCATTCTCCTCCTGGGATTTTGGGCATGCACGCACATGTGGCCAGCACAATTTTCAAGCCTCCAGGTCTGGGACTTGAACTGTGGTTGGCCGTGTGAAAGTCCAGAGCCTCAATCACCATAACACTTCGGGAAAGGAGATGAAAACCCAGGAAAGACTTCTTAAATAAAACTTCAAATATAGGTCAAAACTCCAAAAACATAATGAATTGAATTACATTAAGAGTAAAGATATTAGGACCAGCAGATGGCGTAATGGCTATGTTGCTGGACTCCCATCAAGTCAACTGCAGTTCGAGTCCCGGACCTGGTGGCTTAAACTCACACTGGGTGTGTATGCGTGCGTGCCCAAGATCCCGAGAGGAGAATGGAGGAGAAGGGATTGCGGCGTGGCCATCCCCCCTGGGGGGTGATTTCTCGCTTTCTGTCTCTCTGTCTCTCTCTGTCTTTCTGGCAAGCGCACGCGCCCTATAGCAAAAACCTCTCCAGAAAAAAGAAAATAGAGTAAAGATGATGGGTTGGCCTATGGCCTGGTGGTGGAAGGAGCTGGGTCTCACATGGCTAACCACACGATTTGAGTTGGAGACCTGGTAGTTTGACAGACACGCTGGACACATGTGTATTCATGTCCCATATTCTGACAGGGTGGAGAAATGGAAGAGACGGGATTATGGCATGACCACGCCCCATGGAGGGTACTTTCTCCCTCTCTGTCTGTCGCTCTGTCTAATGTACATGCCCTCTTGCTAATTAAAAAGAAAAAGAAAAAAAAGTAAAGATTCCTCTCAACAGAGGACTCTGGGAAAAGATGAGAGGCATTGAAAGAAGTTATTGACGATACCTAAAACCGATAAGTAATTGCTTTTGTAGAATGCCAGAAACTATCAAATCAAATGGATAAAGATAGGAAACTAGAATAAAAATAGACAACGGATTAGTACAAACCATTTACAAAAGAGAAAGCCCCAAATCCCCACAGGCATCTAAAGAAATGCGCAAATTCTTAGTAACAATGAAATAAAAACTAGGACAACAATGAAAAGTCGCTCTCTATGCAGTTAGGTGAAATATGAGATCGAGTTCGCTGCAAGTGGTAGCCAGGTCGTGAGGAATCTGCACACTTACCTGTAGTTGGTGAGTGTCAACTGGTGGAGCCAACTGGAAAACAGCCTAGATATTCCCACCACCCAGCGTTCCCTCTCCAGGGTGTAGAGCCCAGAGGTATTCCCCTCCAGGTCCATATTCAGAAGACACAGAATCACACGAGGACGTTGAGCACAGTTTTGTAATGGTAAGAACTGGGGGGAACCCAGCTGTCTACCACCAAGCAGAGGCTAGACCTCTCGTGGGTGAGTACACGTTAGAGGGAACGTTACAGGTGCCAGCAGCAACTCATAGATGTATACCCAGCAACATGGCCACCTCTCGAAGGGTAGTTAGTGTTATGTGGGAAAAACGTGAGAAAATACCGTACATAGACGAGAAACAGCAATACGGATGTACCAGAGCTTACCAACTGGAGGATACACATCAAATACATCAGACGAGTTGCCTGTAGGAAGATGGGATGGGAGGAAACAGGGGAAATAGAAAAGGAATTAATATATCAGTAAAGCAAGGTTAATGTTGATAGTGAGCTACAAAATGAAGAGAATGCCCTTCGAACCTGCACCCCACCCCACCCCGCATAAGTTACTAGGGAAAAGATAAGAAAGATGTTAGTGCCAAGAACTCAGCAGTCTTTAATAGTACAGAAATTGATCAAAGCTCTATTTTAAGAGTCTCTGCCTTGGTAGAAAATCAAAGTATATGTTAGAAATATAAACAAGATTGGGCCAGCAGGTGGTGTGGTGGTTAAGGCATTGGACTCCCAGATGGCCAACTGTGGTTCAAGTCCTGGTCTTGGTGGTTTGAAAAATCATGCTGGGCGTGTGTGTGTGTGTGTGTGTGCCCAAAATGCCAGGAGGAGAATGAAGGAAAAGGGAGTGCAGTGTGGCTATCCCCACAGGAGAGTGATTTCTTATTTTTTCTCTGTCTCTGTCTCTTTCCAGCAAACATACATGTCCTATGGCAAACCCTTTAATAAAAGAAAAAGGAAAAAGAAAAAGAAATGTAAAAAAAAAAAAAGGGGTAATTTAGAAGATATTAATGTGTCATACAACATTTATTATAACTTGAGACCATCTATGTTTTCACGGGAAATCTCTGGAAAAATATTTTAGACAATAATGTTGGAAGAAAACTCAAACCGAATTGTAAACGCATTGTAAGTTCTCTTACATCAAAAGCATGTAAAGCAGGGAACCAGCAGTTAGCGTGATGGCTATGTCGCTGGACTCCCATGTAGTCGACCGCAGTTCGCATCCCAGACCCGGTGGCTTAGAACTCACGCTGGGTGCGTGTGCGTGCGTGCCCAAGATCCCGAGAGGAGAATGGAGGAGAAGGGATTGCGGCATGACCATCCCCCTGGGGGGGGATTTCTCACTTTCTGTCTCTCTGTCTCTGTCTGTCTGGCGAGCGCCCGCGCCCTATAGCGAAAACCTCTCAAAAAAAAAAAAAAAAAGCATTTAAAGCAGTCAAGATGCTAAGAACGTAGAGTTAATTTTTCTGCTGAAGGTTTACAGAGCCATTCAGACACTAGCAACACACACTCTCCCAGCTGTCTATAGAGACCTAGCCATTTTCAGGTAGATTCACCCACGTGCTCTACAGAGCTCGGTAAACAGGACACAGCTTAGTAAAATGAACAATGTTTACCCAAATGGAAAGTGGGTGAGTAGTGTAACTGTGCCTTTCAAAATAAATGTGACCAAAGACTGAAGAGCTTTGTAATTACCTCCCAATGTGATAGAGTTTTTTTTTTAAATTCTGATGTTTTGGGACCAGCAGATGGCGCAATGGTCACATCGTTGAACTCCCACATAGTTGATAGTGATTTGAGTCCCAGATCCAGCAGTTTGAATGGCAGGTTGGGGCAGAACTTGGTATCGAGACCCTGCTGGAGAGGTTGTCTCTCTGTGTCTTACTCTCTTTCTCTCTGTCTCTCTTGCTCATGGAAAAAATAAATCATAAACTTAAAAAAATTAACTGGTGAGCAAGGAATTCTGGGGCTTAAAGGGGCATCAAGCACATATATGTGGATGCCCAAGATCCCAAGAGGAGCATGGAGGAGAAGGGATTGCAGCCTACCAACCCCCACTAGGGGGTGACATCTCACTTTCTGTCTCTCTGTCCCTCTCTGTCTTTCTGGTGAGCGCATGTGCCCTATAACAAAAATCTCTCTTTGAAAACACAAAAAAGTATTCTGATGTTTTGAGACCAGCTGGTGGCATAATGGTTACACTGCTAAACTCCCATATAGTTGACTGCAGTTCAAGTCCTGGACCTGGCAGCTTAAAACTCATGCCACGTGCATTTCCATGTGTGGCCAAAATCTGGAGAGGAGAATGGAGGAAGAGACTGCAGCATGGTCATCCCCAGGGGGGTGATTTCTCACTTTCTGTCTCCCTGTCTCTGCCTGTCTCTCTGACGAGTGCATGTGCCCTATAGCAAAAATCTCTCTCAAAAAAAAGAAAATCTGATGTTTCTACTTAAATGATGTCGATGTCCTGACATTCAAGGGCTCTCTTCTTGAACATGAGCCCCTCCCCATTGGCCAGTAGGCTGGCCAAGGGTCTGCAATGTCTTCGGATACCCACGTACCACGAAAAACATCAGGAGGAGCCACTTCCTCTTCTCCTGCAAAAGGACAGATAATAAATACCATTTGGAGGTGACGTGTAAACCTTGTCCAGAATTCAGAGCCTAAAGGGGATCTCTTTGGCTTTCTCCTCTCAATTGACTTCTCGTTTTTTTCTGTACAAGTTCAATTTAATGTAAGAACTTAAATCGAACGTTTGTTCTGAGAAAGTTGCATATGACTAGCCACTGCCCTAAAGAAGTGTATCACTGGGACCAGCAGAGGGCATAACGGTTATATTGCTGGACTTCCACTTGGTCGACCACAGTTAGAGTCCCGGATCCAGTGACTTAAAACTCACACCAGGCACATATGCATGAGTGCCCACAACCCTGAGAGGAGAATGGAAGAGAAGGGATTGTGGCATGGCCATCGCCCTGGGAGAGGTGATTTCTCACTTTCTGTCTTTCCAGCGAGTGCATGTGCCCTATAGCAAAAAATTTTTCTCAAAAAAGTTTCTTGCTGTGTGTGCATGTGTGTGTGTGCATGTGTGTGTGTGTCCTGTATCCACTATTTTGGGTTTGTATGGCATGGAAAAGGGAACAGGTGATAGGCACAGGGGATGAACCAAGGAAAATTATTTCCCAACCCTTTTTTATATATAAATATGACAAGTTCCGTGAGGATGAGAAGCCTTTGCTTTTCTTTACTGCCTTATACTTTGGCTAGTCTCTGAATTAGACAATCATATATTTTTGGACACGTTCAACTTAGAAGCAATAAGGAGCTTGAGAAAGTGTAACTGAAAATCGTAGTAATAACCTTTTGTATTTTGGTGTGAGAATTTAATTAAATCAAACTGACAGGGGCCAGAGGGCCAGCAGTAAAACACAATGTTCTGTGAGGCCGAGCCACATGGGAAAGTTCCAGGTTCGTGTCTGGAGACCTCCCTGAGTACACCAGTTATGCACGTGCCCATGATCCGGGGCTGGCTGAGGTTGGGGCAGAACTTGGTACCAGGACCCTCCTGGAGAGGTTGTCTCTCTGTGTCTGACTCCCTCTCTGTCTCTCTTGCTCATGGAAGAAATAAATCATAAACTTAAAAAAAAATGAACTGGTGAGCAAGGAATTCTGGGACTGAACGGGGCGTCGAAGATGTTATGCCCTGAACAGGACTCAGCCCAGATCATTCCAGACAGACAAAAATCAGTACCGTTTTCCCCAGTCCCATTTGAAAAGGTCACCAAACAAATGCCATAAACAACTCCAGGCATTCTGCTTAGTGCTTCACACTTCAGGATTTTTTTTTTTTTTTATGAGTAAGATAAATCTCTTCCAGTGCAGTGTAAGGTTGCTCAAGCTCTCTCCTTAGGACAAGCGCTGAGAACAACCAGTTCCAACTACAGTTCAATAAACCTACACCTTCACTATAAAGTAGAACTCTCTTCTTTATTTTGAGAGCTTTTTTTTGCTATCGGGCTCATGTGCTCACAGGAGAGACAGAGACAGAGAGACAGAAAGCAAGACATCACCCCCCCAGGGGAATGGTCACACTGCAATACCTTCTCCTCCATTCTCCTCTCAGGATTTTGGGCATGCATGCACATGCACCTGGCCTGAGTTTCAAGCCACCAGGTCTGGAACTTGAACCACCATTGGCCATGTGGGAGTCCAGCACCATAATCACCACACCACCTGCTGGCCTCCCAAATAGAACTTTCTTTCTTTCTTTCTTTCTTTCTTTCTTTCTTTCTTTCTTTCTTTCTTTCTTTCTTTCTTTCTTTCTTTCTTTCTTTCTCTCTCTCTCTCTCTCTCTCTCTCTCTCTCTCTCTCTCTCTCTTTCTTTCTTTCTTTCTTTCTTTCTTTCTTCCTTAGAGGTTTTGCCATAGGGACCATGTGCTTGCCAGAGAGAGATACAGAGATAGTGAAAGGGAAAGTGAAAAATCGCCCCCTCAGGGGAGATGACTACGATCCTTTCTCTTCCACTCTCCTCTCAGGATTTTGGGTGCACACACGCACACGTACCTGGTGTGTTTCAAGGCACCAGGTCCAGAATTCAAACTGTCATTGCCCATGTGGGAATCTAGCATTATAACCACTATGCTACCCTCTCGCCTCCCAAAATAAAACTCTTTTCTTTTTCTTTCAGAATCTTTTGCCTTAAGGTGGCTGTGCTCACCAGAGAGAGAGAGACTGAGACAGTGGAAGGGAAAGTGAGAAATCACCCCGCAGGGGAGATGGCCACACTGCAATCCCTTCTCCTCCAACCTCCTCCTGGGATCTTGGGCATGCATGTAACATGCTCCTGGCATGATCTTAAAGCCATTGGGTCCAAGACTCAGACTACAGTCGGCCATGTGGGTGTCCATGTGGGTGTAATTGTTACATCATCTGCGGCTCCAACTGAACTCGTTTCTAATGCTGGTTGATGACAGAGAACGAAAAGTCATCTATGTCGTCTGGACTTTTTCTTATGCGGTTTATCATGCTATTGTCATATTGTTTGGTGACATTAGATTCCTATGTAATAAAGAATTGCACTGGGGGAGGAATGGTGGCTCAGTGGTAAACAAGATGCTGTGTGGGGCGGTCTCACATGGGAAGGTGCCAGATTCAAGTCCCGAGACCTCCCTAAGTCCCTAGGCATGCATGTGCCCATGATCTGGGGCTGGCTGAGGGCCAGGGGGTGGTTCGTATCATCAGTTCACTGTTGAGGGTGCTCACTTTTCCCCTCTCTGTCTCTCTCATTCATGGAAGAAAGGAAAAAACTCCAAAAATAAAAAAGGACAAAAAAGGAACCGAGCAGTAACTGAGGCGCTTCTTCATGTCCAGGCGTTCTTCTGCCACACCTCAATTTCTCTGCTGATGAGCGCCAGCACTTCTTTCCTTGGTCCTGGGGGTCTCATAATACCCTCTGATGACCCCCACTCACTGTAATTGGGGCTATCTGTCCCTATGGTTGGGGGTGAATCTTGGAGCACCCCAGTTCCAGGAGTTTCCTATACATTTTTAGCAGCTCCTGTCTTGCACATCCAGAGCCCTTCACCAACTTTGTAAAACCGACTTTCTGGTTTCCGTCTGTTTCCAGGATGTAACCGCCATTTTCGTTTCCTCCAGGTAGATGATGCGTGTTCGTCCTTTCTGTCCAGTGGTGCTCCGCCTCAGGTAATTCCACGGGAGGGCTTGGTGACAACGTGGGCATCCGTGTGGTGCAGAAATTCTGTTTCTCTCTTTGGGCCTTTATAAACTCATTAAAGGACAGCCCACGTTAGATATTATTACATTATCTGTAGGTTATAATCAATACTTGAGGCTCTTTTAAAAAAACTTGTTTATTTAATTTAATTTAATTTTTTTTAACTTGACCAAAGAGAGAAAGAAAGAAAGAGAAGGTGAGAAAGCAAGCCACCAGGCCTAGGACTTGAACCACAGTTGACCATGTGGGAGTCTAGTACCCTAACCACCACGTCCCCTGCTGGTCCTACTTCAGGCTCATTTATAAATAAAATAGGATATACCTATATTTTGAAAATTCTGGGGACCAGCAGATGGTGTAGTGGTTGTGTCGCTGGACTCCCATATAGTGAACTGCGGTTCAAGTCCTGGACCTAACAGTTTAAGACTCATGCTGGGCACATGTGCATGCGTGCCCAAAATCCCCAGAAGAGAATGGAGGAGAAGAGACTGCAGCATGGCCACGCACCCCAGTGAGTGACTTCTTGCTTTCTGTCTCTCTCTCTGTCCATCAAGCACACATGCCCAATAGCAAACATTCTCTCTTAAGAAAAACAATTCTGTAATGCAAATTAAAGTGCTAATTTCAATATTAAATTCTGTGTTAAACTAAAAATAACATATGTAGTGTTTGGAGTCTGATATCCTGTCTCCCAATTGAGTTTCAAATGCATTCAGAGAGAAAATGAGGAGTCTTAATTATGGAGGTCAAAGTATCAGTAGTACAAAGTCCATCTGTGAATGTGGCTCTGGATCTGACACACGGTGTGTTTGCTAAAACCGTTCCTGGAATTAAACTTGCCTGCAGACCTCAGGCAGTGAGTCTGGGCTTCCACAGAGTCAGGTTCTCAGCAACAGGGCAAAGACAGACAAGAACATCCAGCCAGAAAGATGGCCCCCCCAAAGAGCTAAACTGAGCATGTGCAAACCACACCTCCCAACTCACCTATCAGGCAGCTGGTGAGCTTTCCATACAGTGGAGTTAGAGGGGGTGGGGAGAGGCCAGGGGTGCCAGTCCAGTCCAGCCCCTCTCCATGGACCCGCCTCGACAGAAGGGTGTGTCTCCAAGCACAGGAAGAGCAGTTACTCTTGGAGTCTATGCTTTTTTTTTTTTTTAACTTTCTTTTTTAAGGTTTTGCCATAGGGTGTGTGCTCAACCCAAAGAGAGAAAGAGAGGGAAACTGAGGAATCACCCCCCAGGGGGATGATCACACCACACTCCCCTCTCATCCCCTCTCTACCATTCTCCTCCTGGGATTTTGGGCACGCTCGCACATGCGCCCAGTGTGATTTTCAAGCCACCAGGTCTGGGACTCAAGGAGGGCCGACCATGTGGGAGTCAGCACCTCAGCCATCACACCTGCTGGCTCCAGCGTCTTGACTTTCTCAATCAGTACCACTGCCTCCTGGACAGAGAACAGGGCTGAGCAGAGGCTCCGGCCTGTCTTCTGGAGTCATCAGGTTTGCACCCTGACTCCATAGGCTGGCCCAGGTGCCGAGACTGTCTTTCGCATAGTCCTTTCAGAATGCCTTCTGGGCTAGTGTGGAAAAGCAGCCTGGGTAGTGCTCTCGCTCTCATCCTCAATCCATTCCCCCAGCTCCAGAGAATCACCTGCAGAAGCTGGAGGCGTTAGGTGGTGAAGCAAGACCAGGAACACAACTGATGACATTTCGAACAGTATTTCAAACCCCTGGAGGAGTGTCGATGGATGTATGAGGGGTCTTGACGAAGCTCATGGAAAATTCAAGAAAAATATACTGGGGGCCAACATGTGGCGTGGTGGTTGAGGTGCTGGAGTCCCACACGGCCAATTGCACTTCAAGTCCCAGACCTGACGATTTGAAAATCACAACAAATAAATAGATAAATAAATAAATGTAAAAAAAAAAAAATCATTACCGGAACCAGCAGGTGGCATTGTGGTTAAGGGTGCTAGATCCCACATGGCCGACAGTGGTCCAAGTCCTGTTCCTAAAAGCTTGCTTTCTCACTTACTCTCTTTCTTTAAATCACTGGAAATATTTTTAAAAATAATAATAGAGTTACATAAAATAATTCTTTAAAAAATACCTTACAATGTGATATTAAAATCCCCATAGTACACATCTAAAAAGAAAGAAAGAAAAACTATGCAAGGATTTTGAGGCTTTTTGGCACCAAAATAAACTAGTACTTAGTTTCTATTTTCCATTAAGTTTAAAAATATATTTATTTATTTATTTAATCTATTTATTATTATTTTTAAATTTTGACTGGAGAGAGAGGGAAAGTGAAAAAGCTAGCCACCAGGTCCGGGACTCTAACTGTTGGCCGTGTGGGAATCCAGCGACTCAACCACCACACATCTGCCGGCCCCTCCCATTAACTTTTTGGAAGTCCCCTTAAATAAGATGGATAGTAATCAGCATATAAGCCTTACTACTGTATTTAAAATTCAGAAACATCCTTAGAAACACTATTTTTTAGAATACTAGGAGGATGAATTGTTCTTAAAATAATTGTTTATTTCTTTTTTATTATTATTATTTAGAGATTTTTGCTATAGGGGTGCACTCGCTGGAGAGATAGACAGAAAGTGAGAAAGCACCCCTCAGGGGGGATGGCCACACTGCAATCCCTTCTCCTCCATTTTGCTCTAGGGATTTTGGGCATGCACACACATGTGCCTGGTATGTGTTTTAAGCCACCAGGTCTGTAGTTGACTACATAGGAGTCCAGTGACGTAACCATTACACCATTTACTGGCCCTTATTATTATTTTTTAATTTGACAGAGAGAGAGAGAAAAGGAAAGTAAGAAAGCAAGCTGCCAGGTCGGAACTCAGATCACAGTGGGCCATGTGAAAGTTCAACGCCTTAACCACCATGCCACCTGCTGGCCCTGGAGGATGAGTACCATGAGCTTTTTTTATATATAAGAGAGGGTTTTTTTGTTTGTTTGTTTGTTTTTGTTTGTTTGTTTTTTTTTGCCATAGGGCATGTGCACTTGACAGAAACAGAAATAGACAGAGAGAGAGTGTGAGAGATCCCTCCCCTCCCTTCCCCAGGGAGGATGGCCACACCATAATCCCTTCTCCTCCATTCTCCTCTTGGGATTTTTGGCAAGCACATGTGCCCAGCATGAGTTTCAAACCTCTAGGTCTGGGACTACATGCAGTCAGCCATGTGGGAGTCCAACACTTCAACCACTATGCCACCTGCTGGCCCCACCACGGACTTTTTAAGAAGAGCTTGACACATTGGAATAATCTACAGTAACAGTGTATATTGTCATACAATTTGTCACATTTTTAGAGCAACATTAATAAGGACCAGCAGATGGTGTAATGGTTACGTTGTTGGACTTCCAGGTAGTCAACTGTGGACCCACCAGTGCATGTGCGTGTGTGGGCATGCTCAAAATCCCGAGCGGAGAATGGAGAAGGGATTGCAGCATGGCCATCCCCCCAGGGGTGATTTTCTCGCTTTCTGTCTCTTTGTGTCTCCAGTGAGTGTGCCTGTCCTATAGCAAAAATCTCTCTTAAAAAAAAAATAATACTTTTCACATGAACTATTATTTTACTACTTATGTGATTATCTGAACAATGCTTCAAAGCATTTTTTTTGCCACACACGAAAGGCGCTTTACGGCTCATAAATTTAAAAAATAAAATATTAAAAAATGTCATAAGTGAGAAATCCTCAAAGAATCCTTGAGAATAATGGCTTCTTGTAATGGGTAGCTGGAGAAAAAACATTTGTTTTAAAACTCTTTGGTCAAGGGACCAGGCAGATAGCATAATGGTTATGTCATTGTACTCCCACATGGCTGACTATAGTTTGTAGTTAGTCCCAGACTTGGAGGCTTGAAACTCACGTTGGGCCCATGTCACATGTATGTGCATACCCAAAATCCTGAGAGGAACATGGAAGAGAAGGGATTGCTGTGTGGCCATGCCCCATGGGGGGTGTGGTTTCTCGCTTTTTGTCTCTCTGGTGAGCACATGTGCCCTATAGAAAAAATTTTAAAACTCTTTGGTCAAGAGGCCAGCAGGTGGCGTGGTGGTTAAGGTGATAGACTCTCACATGGCCTGCAGCAGTTTGAGTTCTGGACCTGGTGACTTGCTTTCTCATTCTCTCTCTCTGTTGAGTGCACATGTCCTATAGCAAATAAATAATAATAAATAAAGTGAAATAAATATTTCTAAGAAAAAGAAAGACTCTGGTCAAAATCCAATCTAATTTCCAAGCTTCATCCAGCCTTGACACTTTCCTAAGGCGAATCAGCTCACATGTCCATGTGGATTTATCGTCCTTTGAGTTGAGATACATCTTTGACACATGATATCACTAGATAATGTCTTTGGATGGTTTTGTACTTCACAGCATTTCTAAATGGGTCGTAAAAGGAGATTTAGGTATTTTATGACCAGGTTTTTATGGGAGTGTGCTGGGTTTTCAGCCCTGAGGGGAAGCAAGTGTGGAGACACGTCGGCGTTCGCAGGGCATGTTTCTCATCCACCTCCCAACTCTAGACTGAGTCAAGGCTTGTGCCACTCGGCACTGTCTCCAGGTCTTGAGACTGCCCATCTGGGCCACACGGTACCAAGTACTAGCCTCGTGAGGTGCTGGGCAAGTGGCAGTCTCTGAGAACCTCCCTGCTGCCATACGAGAGAGTACAGTCCCTGTCCGGCCTACCTCACAGACGTGGTTTAAGGGTAGAATGCAAACGATGTATATACAAGTGTTCTGTGCTTTATGGAAGCACTATGTCAATATGAGTCATTGCTAGTAAATATGTCAGCAATTTGCATGGCAGCCAGCCACAGAACGGAGAGAACAAAGCAGACCTCTCATGCTCCCAGAAACTGTGTCATGACCCCAACTGCATCTCGAATCACAACCAACCACGCGAAGCATGCAAGCTTGTTTACAGGGTGAGAATATCTACAATCCTCTCCACCTCTCTTCTAAATGAAGAGAAACTGTAGCTAAGACCTTTATCTACCTCTACTCCTTCCAAGAATTCTCAGCAGTGAGGTCATCCCTGATTTATGGCTGAAGAAACGGATGTGCAGAGAGGTTAGGTAACCATCCAAGGAAACACAGCTAGTACAGAGTAGCCATGGAATTTGCCATTATCGTGCGACTCCATTGCCCATGCTCATGACCACTGCTTATACGGTGCCCCCGCCTCCATTTCCCCTCTTCATGACGTCCCGAATATTTTGTTAAGGAGTCCATTGTTGTGATTGTGTTCACAACTGGGTTTAATTCTGTGCAGAGCAGGTTTCGCCCCTGCTTGTCCATCCATGCTGCGCCGCACCACACCCAACTGGCTGCTAACCACAGGAGCCCTGCCCTACTTCTGAGCTCGACTGCGTGGACAAACTTGATCCTGGGTGTGCAGTCAGCAACCTGGAAGGGTGGGACCCCAATGAGGTGCACCACACAGGGCTTTTTCTTCTCCAGTTCCCATTGTTGGCGAGCCAATCACGGGATTTCCAAATTAGCCAATAATGAGAACCACTCAGCCAGGCACACAGCTTTGGCATGCAGACACAGGGCTCGCTGAAAGCTGAGAAGGATAATCCCTCCTTCAGGCACTGCCCTGGCTGCTCTTAGTCACAGAATTTGCTGATCTCTTGGCGAGTATCTCGACCACAGTGGGGCAGAAGACTTCACCAGGGCCTACATACAGTACCCGACTTACTTTTTTCTGGTTGAAAGGAAAGTTTTCTTTTTAGCAGCCAACTGTTGTCATGAGAGAAATCAAGAGATTCCAGCAGAGTTTCAGTGACCACCAGAAAGCTTCTTTTCTAGGTAGTTGACTAATCCCTGTGTTCCTTACGCTTTACGGTTTTATCTTCTGTGCAAATATCATTAACTCAGAAGCAGAGCCGATACACCTTCTCCTTTCTCTTAGGTGTCTAATGAAATGGAAGAGCTTTGCCTTATGATTATGGGGACTCAACCAAAGACTCAGGTAAGACTGCAATCAAGCTTTGTTGGTAGGTCCCATGGAGGAGTTTATTCTAAAAGTACTCTATTAAAAGTAAGAAAAAGGCCAGCAGGTGTTGTGGTGGGTAAGGCACTGGATTCCCACATGGCCAACTGAAGTTCAAGTCCCGGACCTGGCAACTTGAAAATGGCACCAGGCTCATGAGTATGCGTGTCCAAAATTCCAGGAGGAAGAGGAGGAGAAGGGATTGTGGCATGGCTATCCCCCTTGAGGGGTGATTTCTCACTTCCCCTCTCATTGCTTCTCTCTCTCTCTCTCTCCGGCAAGTGCATACGCCCTCTAGCAAAAACCTAAAATTAAAAAAAGGAAGAACCTTGGGTTAACTGGTGGTATGGTGCTTAAGGCAGCTGAATTCCACATGGCAAATTGTATGGTTCGAATCCTGGACCTGGCAGCTTGAAAATCACACCAGGTGCATGTATTTCAATCCCCCAAAATCCAGAGAGGAGAGTAAAAGAGAAGGAATTGCAATGTGGCCAACCTACCTGAGAGGTACCTCCTCACTTTCCCTCTCTCTCACTAAAGAGTGTGCTCTCTATAGCAAAATTACAAAAAAAAAAAAAAAAAAAAAAAAAAAAAAAAAAGAACCTCAGGTTTGGAATGATATTTTTTATTAGAAATTTAATTTAAACCGTGGTCATTGGTACACTCTGACTTTCATACTTTTCACAAACATTAATTCAAAGAAAGAAACTTTGATAGTTAGACGGCATAAATGTTTTCTGAAACTGAATAATCTGTGTCTATACTGTTTATCTGTTGATTTTAATGGTAACATTTTCCTTAAAAACTTATTTCAGAAGATAAAAGAAACAACAATGGTATTTATCTATGACCTTCTGTTTGTATTAAAAAAACAAATAAGAGACCAACAGATGATTTAATGGTTACGTAGTTGGACTCCCACATGACCAAGTGCAGTTCGAGTCCCAGACCCGGCAGCTTGACAGTCACACCTGTGTGTGTGTGTATGTGTGCCCAAAATCCTGAGAGGAGACTGGAGAAGAGATTGCAGTGTGGCCATCCTTGCTGGGGATAAGGGGAGCATTTCTCACTTTCTTTCTTGCTGGCAAGAGCATGCACCCTCTAACAAAATAAACTCTCTCGGGAAAAAAAAAAAATTAAATGAGCCCCAGGTGGTGTGGTGGTTGAGGTCCTGGACTCCCACATGACCAACCATGGTTTGACTCCCAGACCTGGTGCCTTGCTTTTTCACTTTTTCTCTCTGGTGACCACATGTACTCTATAGCAAATTAAAATAATAATAATATAAAATTAAATAATTATTTGAAAAAGGCAAACGAGAACAAGAAAGAAAACAATAAAAAAGGAATGATATAAAAACAGCTTTTTGGCAAGAGAGGAGAATATACAAAAGTTTGTGGAAGAAAGCAAAACTAACTTATCATCTTATTATTTAGAAATAATGATTACAAATGATGTGATTCCTTTAAGTCCTTTTCTCTGAATATTGCATCATGTGATTATGCCAGAATTTGCCATTCCACTCCTGTTGAACATAAGGATATTACATTGTTTTACTCTTATGAATGTTGCAATAAAGATCATTGTTCACATCTTTATTTATAAACAGTATTCAATTAATTTCCCATTTACTTGTAGAGGAACAGATGCTTACCCAATTCCATACTTATATTTTTATATATAACATATACGTCATTTAAAAAAATACTTTACCAGAAAGCATGTGTGCTTGCTGGAGAGAGAGGGAGGGGGGAAAGAGAGAGAGAGAGAGAGAGAGAGAGAGAGCGAGCACTCTATGGGGAATGGTCATGCTCCAATCCCTCCTCTTCCATTTCTCCCTCCTTGTGGGATGCTGGACATGTACACCGACGTGCCCAGCCTCTTCCTCAGCTGCCTGGGTCCAGGACTTGAACCACAGTCAGCCATGTGGGATCCAGCTGCCTTACCCACCCTGCCACAGGCTGGCTCTATGTCTTGTGTTTTTAAAGACTTTGTGGTAACTTTATCATACAGTATAAATTTTATAATGTTATATATCATGTAATGATAGAGCTCTCTTTTCAATAGGAACAAGATGAAAAAGATAATACCAAAAGGGTAAGGTGATTTTTAGAAATATATACATTTAAAAAAGGAAACCATTCATCTTTTACAGTAAAATGCATGTATTTTTTTTTAACAGTTCTTATTTCATTATTCGAAAACACAGAAGCTGGGCAATTCAAATGTTATGGTGAGTTATAGAACTACTTATTACGGATTATTTATGTATGTTTAAATAAAACAAATGTGTTGGCAGTTTATCTAATAGAGTTAGATCAAAATTCAAGGTTTTTTTCCTTTAAAAGTTTATATGTGGGGCCAGCAGAGGGCATGGTTGTTAAGGCACTAGATTCCCACATGGCACACCGTGACTCAAGTCTCAGAGATGATAGCTTGAAAATCACAACTAAATAGATAAATAAACGTAAAAAAAATTAAAAACTGAACAACTAAGGAAAGAGATTTTTAAAAAGTTTATATGTGGATGAACAAATAAAGTTCAATATTTATGATGCATTTATTTTATGTACCAATAACTACATGTACTTGAATTCATTCATCCTTTCACTCAACAGTTATTTGCTGAATATCTACTACATGCCAGGCATAATTCTAGGAAATATAGCAGAAAATAAAAACAGGAAATGAAAAAATAAATCTCTGCTTTCCTCAAATTCACAAATCTAAAGGTCAAAGCGAACAGGATATAAATAAGTAAAACATATTGCTTCAGACGGCAATTAATGAAGGGGAGATTAGTTTCATCCAAAGGCAATCTTTTTGTTTGTTTTATTCTTGCTATAGGGCACATGTGCTTGCTGGAGAGAGAGAGAGACAGAGAGAGACAGAGGGAAAGAAATCATCCCCTATGGAGGATGGCCATGCTGCAGTCCCTTCTCTTGAGACTCTGGGCATACTCACGCCCATGTGTCCAGTGTGATTTTTTGTTTGTTTTTTTTTTTTTGAGAAGTTTTTGCTATAGGGCGCATGCGCTCACCAGACAGACAGAGAGAGACAGAGAGACAGAAAGTGAGAAATCACCCCCCAGGGGGGATGGCCAAGCTGCAATCCCTTCTCCTCCATTCTCCTCTCGAGAGCTTGGGCATGCACGCACACGCGCCTGGCATGAGTTTTAAGTCGCCAGGTCCAGGATGCGACTACGTGGGAGTCCCAGCAACATAGCCATTACACTAACTGCTGGTCCCTACAGAGTGATTTTCAAGCCTCCGGGTCAGGGACTCAAACCACAGTGTTGGCCATATGGGATCTAGCCATTTTAATTGCTTCCATGCCACCCACTGTCACCATCCAAAGGCATTTAATTTTTGCTAAAGGGCATGTGCACTCACCAGAGAAAGAGAGAAAGTGAGAAATCAACCCCTGAGGGGATGGCCATGTTGCAATCCTTTCTCTTCCATTTTCCTCTCAGGATCTTGGACATGCACACATACACCAGGTCCAGGACTCAAACCGTGGTTGTCTATGTGGGAGTCCAGCAACGTATCCATCATGCCATCTGCATCTTTGGTCCCATCCAAAGGCATTTTAAGAATTATTTTAGGGACCAGCAGATGGCATAATGGTTATGTCGCTGGTCTCCCACATAATCAACCACAGTTTGAGTCCCAGACTCAGTGGTTTAAAACTCATGCTGGGCATATGTGCGTGTGTACCCAAGAGTCCAAGACAATGAAGAAGGGATTGTGGCATGGCCATCCCTTTCTCACTTTCTCTCTTTGTTTCTCTGGCAAGCACAAGTGCCCTATAGCAAAAATCTGTCTCTCAAAGAAAAAAAAAAGAATTATTTAAAAATATGAATATTGGGAGCAGCAGTTGGCGTAATGGCTATGTCGCTGGACTCCCATGTAGTCGACCATGGTTCGAGTCCCAGACCTGGTGGCTTAAACTCATGCCGGGTGCATGTGCGTGCGTGCCCAAGATCCTGAGAGGAGAATGGAGGAGAAGAGATTACAGTGTGGCCATCCCCCCTGGGGGGGTGATTTCTCACTTTCTGTCTCTGTGTCTCTCTATTTTTCTGGTGAGCACATGCTCCCTATAGCAAAAACCTCTCCAAAAAAGAAAAAGAAAGAAAGAAATATATGAATGTTAAAGACTAATGAAATGTAACCAGAAATATCTTTTTCTATTTCTAAAATTTCCTCATTAGTAATTAGGTATCTAATTAGAGAGTTACTCTTTAAGATTGACCAGAACGAGTAATTTATATTCACTTAAAACTCACTTAAAATTTATGTTCACTTAAACCTTGTGAGGTTTTAGTGGTAATTTTTCCTTTGGTATGTGTGGATTTTAAAATGTTAACTAACCTATTTAGAGGTTTTGATCTAGACTACTTAGTGATCTTTTTACCCAGGTTGTTCTTTCCAACCTTGTGATTCACTACCATGAACCCGTGTAGCAAATGAGGGACATTTTGTATTTTAAACATCAATTTACCTGTGCAAAGGGAACCACAAACTTACACTGAATTTTAAAAGTTTATCACTTAAAATGTTCTTACATAGAGGAGCTGAATGTTAGATTATACCTGGCTTTACACCAAATACTAGTGGAATTAGTTAACAAATATCCATTACATAAGGCTCAAACCAATTCACTCGATAAATGAATTTCATATTTGTAAGAAGGTTCAATTCAACTCATACCTTTAAAAAAAAAATGCCACCCAAACCAGCAGATGGCATAATGGTTATGTTGCTGACTCCCATGTAGTCAACCATGGTTCAAGTCCTGGACCTGGCAGCTTAAACTTATGCCAAGTACATGTGTGTGCATGCCCAAAATCCTAAGAGGAGAATGGAAGAGAAGGGATTGCAGCATGGTCATCTCTCCCGGTGGGGGTGATTTCTCTCCTTCTTTCTCTCTGTCTCTGTCTGGCAAGCACATGGCACCCTATAGCAAAAATCTCTCTTGAAAAAATTTTTTAAAAATGCCACCAGGGGCCAGCAGGTGATGTGGTAGTTGAGTCTCTGGGTTCCCACACACCCAACTGCTATTCAAGCCCTGGAGTTAGCAGCTTGCTTTCTTACTTTCCTTCTCTCTCTTTCTGTTTCTCTTTGTTGAGCTCAGGTTCCCAATAGCAAATTAAAAGTGAAAATAATAAAATAATAATAATAAATAAAATTAAATAATTTTTTGATGCCACTATTGGAACCAGCAGGTGGCAAGGTGGTTATATCACTCGACTCCCACATGACTGACAGTGATTCAAGTCTTGGACCTGGTAGCTTCAAACTCACACTGGGTGCGTGTGCGTGCGTGCCCAAGATCCCAGTAGGAGAGCGGAGGAGAAGGGATTGCAGCATGGCCATCCCCTCGGGGTGGGGGGTGATTTCTTGCTTTCTGTCTGTCTGTCTCTCTCCGTCTCTCTGGCGAGGGCACATGCCCTATAGCAAAAACATCTTTAAAAAAAATGCCATTATTTCAGGTCTCCACGTGTCTTAAGTGTGCTTTCATTTTCTTCTGCTTAGTGTTTTACAGCTTGAGAAAAATGTGCTTAGTCACTATCAAAAACACATTGTCGCCTTCTGTGTCCCTGTTGTCTTACACTATGAGCAGCACATTGTCGTTCTGTGTGTCTCCTGTTGTCTTAGGTATACGTTTCAGTTTTAAATGTATAATTTACAAAAGTGATGACTAGATGCATAATTTTCTAGATAAATATGTTCATCATGAAAAACTGATACTCACAGAGCTGATTTCATCCGGCCCAAATTATTTTGTGTAAGTCTGGACGCAAACCAACTGCTTTTTGCCTCTTAAAGACACAGTGAAGGGGGGCAGCAGGTGGCATGGTGGTTAAGGCACTGGACTTCTTTCATGGCTAACTGTGGTTTGACACCCAGACCTGGAAGTTTGCTTTCTCACTTTCCCTCACTCTCTCTCTCTCTCTCTCTCTCCTCTTTCTGATGAGCATGCATGCCCTGTAGCAAATTTAAAAATAAATAAATAAAGAGATAATAAAATTAAATAAATAATTCTCAGATAGTGTGGAAGTTAAGGTACTGAACAGCAACTGCGAAGTTTGAGTCCAAGACCTGGGTTGAAAATCGTGCCAGGCATGTGTGCATGCATGCCCCAAATCCCAAGAAGAGCATGGATTGCAATGTGGCTATCCCCCAGGGGGAGATTTCTCACTTTCCCTTTCTCTCTCTCTCTGGCCAGTGAGCATATGCACTCTATAGCAAAATTTTAAAAAATAATAAAAGATGTGGCGAGGGGTTTTACTTGTTGAGAGCTGACAGAGAACTCACCTGAGGAAAGTACTTCTGTGTAATGACAAATTCCTAGCATAGAGCTACCAAATTTCAGCCATCTCTTGGCTCATTCTCCACAGTTCTCTGAAGGGTTCACCAAGGGCTGAGATGACATCTTTCTTTTTTATTTAGGGAGATTTTTGCTACAACATGTGTGCTCACTGGAGAGACAGAAAGCAAGAAGTCAGCCCCTAGGGGGCTGGCCGCACTGCGATCCCTTCTCCTCCATTCTCCTCTTGGGATTTTGGGCACACACGCACACACACCCTGCATCAGTTTCAAGCCACCTAGTCCAGAACTCAAACCGCGATCGATTATGTGGGAGTCCAGCAATGTAACCATTACACCATCCGCTGGTCCCGACATCTTAATTTGAAATATGAGTATCTACTACCTGCCGGGCACAATCCTAAGACCAACGATAGTGGGTAGAAACAAAAGCACAAACGAGTAAGCAGGAAACCACGCCATGCCCAGAGCCGCCCTGGCTGGAGCCATGTACCCTGAGCCACCATGCTCACGTTTGTGTGTTCGCGTCCCCAGTCTTCCGTGGTGCACCCGTTGCTGCAGCTCGTTCCTCAACTGCACGAGAGAAGGATGAAGAGATTCAACACGCACGTATGTCATTCGAACTGCATGCTCGCTTCGCCACTCTGCAGGGGCAGCCCTTTCTCGTAATTCCAGATTGGGAGTTTATAAGCCAGTGGTCTTCAGGGTCAGTTCCAGACACACGCAGTCGGCCAGTGTAAGAGCATCTGTTCACACTTAGGAGGAGAAGCCTGTTCGAACTCCCCCCACCTGCCATGTTCTGCCCCCTCTAACTCGCGCTGGGATTGTAGTTCTTTCCACGGGTCATGACCCTCCCAGAGAGAAAACCAGCTCTGGTTAAGAACCTGCAGCATGTTAGTCATATGTTAGTCATGAGGAAGGAAGAGGTGAACGAGTAAGGGCTGTCTACCGCCCCTCTGTTCAGGTTGGCAAGCAGCTAGGACTGCAAGTATCTGCCTAAGTATTACTGTTGGAAAGGTTTAGGCTCTCAGCAAAGAGGCAAGAATATATTTCAGAAACTACATGAAGAAATTTTTTTTTCAACAATGAAAAATAATAGGACCTAAATTCAGTGTTTATGTCTAAGATGCCTATAACTGAGTCGACAAATTCTTAGCTGGAAATAGTGGAGATGTTATTGTCATTTAAAGATTCTTTTTTTTTTTTTTAAGAATTATTTAATTTGGGGACCACCAGTTAGCATAATGGCTATGTCGCTGGATTCCCATGTAGTCGACCACAGTTCGAGTACTGGACCCAGTGGCTTAAACTCACGCTGGGCGCATGTGCGTGCATGCCCAAGATCCCGAGAGGAGAACAGAGGAGAAGGGATTGTGGCATGGCCATCCGCCCTGGGGGGTGATTTCTCGCTTTCTGTCTCTCTCTTTCTGGTGAGCACATGCACCCTGTAGCAAAAACCTCTCCAAAAAAAGAAAAAAAAAGAATTATTTAATTTTATTATCATTATTTTTTAATTTGAACAGAAACAGAGTGAGAGAGAGAGAGAGAAAATAAGCCAGCAGGTCTGGGACTTGAACCGTGATCAACCACATGGGAGTCCAGTGCCTTTACCATCGCACCACCTGCCAGCCCTAAGGATTCTAACTCTTAATGCTGCAAGTGTCTAAGTATTATTTTACAGTAATGCTTTACATTGTTGTAATGCATTAGAACTGTCAGTCTTCTATGATTTTATTATTTTGGGTACCCTGGTAGTACTTAAGCAAGTATTATTATCCCTGGCTTAGAAGAGAAAAACAACTTAGAATAGTTGGGAGAGTTTCCCAAGATCATCGTAGTAAGAGATTTACTAGATTCTTTTGGCTTCTAATGTAGCCAACTATTTCTTTCACTATGCTATTTCCTTTGTAGTTTAACCTTTGGATACTTTAATTATTTTATTACTCAATTATACATGGGTGTTTGGTTGTTAATAGTTAAATTCATGTACTTTTTAAAAAAATTTCAGTACCATATTTGCTTAATTCTTCTAAAAGTGCTACTCAAAGTCTTTAAATATTTTAAAAACATATATAGTAGGCCAGCAGGTTGGCATGGTAGTTAAGGCACTGGACTCCCACTTGGTTAACCATGGTTCTAGCCCCAGATCTGGCAGCTTGCTTTCTCACTTACCTTCTCTGTCTTTCTCTGGTGAGCACATGTGCCCTACAGCAAATCAAATAATAATCATAATTTTTTAAATTAAATTAAATGTTAAACAACGTTTTTGAATAAACATAGTTTATCCAAGTTGTCTCTCAATTTTAATCCGCATTCCTATAGAAATATTATGTATTTTATCAATAGCTTTGCCCCGATTCTGTTTTACATTTTTCCCTGTTTATGTGTTCATACATACAGTATGAATTCCAAAGAAATTTCTTACCCTAACAACATACTGAAAGGAGATTTTAAATATAGTTCTTTCTGAAGTATCTACTATTTCTTTCTACCGATTAATGACTATATGTACAACTGGCAAAGTCCCTGAGAAGAGAATCTGTCATGCTGATAAGGAAATCACCTATAGACATGCTCTTCTGATGACGTTGCTGGTTGTCGAAAGTTTCCCGGTGTAAATGCAAAGATTCTCTACTGATTTGAATTCTATACTCAAAGCCTTGATTTTCTTTTTCCTTAATTATGAGTTTAAAGTGACTTTGAGCTTCACTAAACTCTCAAGAAGAACTGCATTTATTTTTAGTGTTAATTGATTTGTAAGGCTCCCATTTTTCTCCTTCAGGAAGAATTACGAAGTCCTCTTTTAAGTCGAAGTCAAGGATACTTCTTATTCAGGGTATGTATGTACTGTGTTTTTTTAAAAAATTGATCCATCTTGAAGGTCTGCAGGAAGTGTGGTGGTTAAGGCTCTGGATTCCCATGTGGTCCACCATGGTTTGAGTCCTGGACCTGGCAGCTTGCTTTCTTACTTTCTCTTTCTTTCTGTGTCTCTCTCTGGTCAACTTAAAAACATATAACAATAATAATAATAAAATGAAATAGACAATTCTTTAAAAATCAATCAATATCTAAATTTAAAACATGTCACTGTGTATTTAGCTCACAAGTTTTACTTCAATTTGGAAGTTTATTTATAGATATTTAACACCAGGTATTACAGTCGGGCATTCACGTCTATCCCCAACCTATTGCCTGGATGCCACGGCATCTCTGGTCTCTTTTCTGACCCACTACTCATGGAAAATGTGCTTTATGAAAAACTGCATGAATTTCTTTTTTTTTTCTTTTTGCACCAAAATAATACTTTGATTCCCCTTTTACACAAACCTTTCAATGTCCCTTCGTGAATACCTCAGGTGACATTCACTCACTTGACAGTTTAATTCCATGACAATTTGTGTATAGAAAATGGATGTCTCAGGACCAGCAGGTGTAATGGTTACATTGTTGGACTCCCATGTAGTGATCGCGGTTTGAGTCCTAGACCTGGTCACTTAAAATTCACACTGGGGGGAACCAGCAGTTAGCATAATGGCTATGTCGCTGGACTCCCACGTAGTCGACCGTGGTTCGCGTCCCGGACCCGGTGGCTGAAAACTCACGCCAGGCGCGTGTGCTAGCGTGCCCAAGATCCCGAGAGGAGAATGGAGGAGAAGGGATTGCGGTGTGACCATCCGCCCTGGGGGGGTGATTTCTCGCTTTCTGTCTCTATGTCTCTCTCTGTCTGTTTGGCGAGCGCATGCGCCCTATAGCGAAAAAAACCTCTCCAAAAAAAAAAAAAATTCACACTGGGAGGACCAGCAGTTGGCATAATGGCTATGTCACTGGACTTCCATGTAGTTGACAACAGTTCGAGTCCCAGACCCAGTGGCTTGAACTCACTCTGGGCACGTGTACGTGCATGCCCAAGATCCCGAGAGGAGAATGGAAGAGAAGGGATTGTGGTATGGCCATCTCCCTAGGGGGTTGATTTCTCACTTTCTGTCTCAATGTCTTTCTGGTGAGCGCACACACCCTATAGCAAAAAGCCTCTCAAACAAAACAAAAAAAAAAATCTCACACTGGTGTGTATGTGTGCCCAAGATCCCAAGAGGAGAATGGAGGGAAAGGGATTGTGTCATGGACATCCTCCATGTGAGGGGGTGATTCCTCGTTTTTCTGTCTCTCAGTCTCTCCAGTGAGCCCACACGCCCTACAGCAAAAATCTCTCTAACAAAGAAAAAAAGAAAATAGATGTCTCAAAGATGAAATATTCCTTAAGTTCCAAGGAATTATTTACTGATTGTTTTACTTGGTAGGCTGAAAGAGTAATGACTACTTTTACAAGTTCTTAAAATTACAGTTACTATAAAGGCAACAAAATGCAGTTGATTGTACCTCTCATTCTGTATGTCCAAATTGTCTATGAAATGTGAGTTTATAAGCAGTCATACCTTCTAAAACATTTGCATACTTAATGCATTACTAGAATTGTTTGTTTTTTTTTGTTTTTCTATTTTTGGAATAGGGCACATGTGCTCGCCAGAGAGAGACAAAGAGAGACAGAGAAAGGGAAAGTGAGAAATCACATCCCTAGAGGGTATGGCCTTGCTGCAATGCCTTGTCCTCCATGTTCCTCCTGGGATTTGGGACACGCATACACACACACACACACACACACACATCCAGTGTGGTTCTCACGCCACTAAGTCTGGAACTCGAACTGTGGTTGATCATGTGGGAGACCAGCACCTTAAATACCATATCCCCTGCTGGTCCCATTACCGGAATTTTTAATTTGTTTATTCAACAACTATTTATTAACCTTCTTCTTGGTACTGGCCAAGATACTAATCACTGGGAATATAAAGACAGAGAGGATCCCATCCCTACTTTCTAGGTGTTTACAACCTCAGAGAGGAATAAGTAAGTAAACAAATGCAAAGGTCTGTGTTGAACACACCTTTAGTCCAGGGGCTGTGGTTTCCAAAAGTAAAGCGCTTAAAGTAAGCTGGGGAGTGGAGAAGGGACAGGCCAGACTCTGTGGGCTGTCTCTTGAAGAATCGACAGAAATTGGTTTGTGAATGTGTAGCTTGGAAATTTCCATGAGTCTCTAAAAAGTAAGGCCATGAGGTAAGATTTGCATTTTGGAAAATAATTCTATTAACGACAGCAAATTGGAGAATGGATGGAAAGAACTGGACTGATAGCATGAAGAAGCAATTCTACATGCAACTTCAGCAAGTTAATTTTAGCTCAGGTCACATCGCGGTGGAGAATGTTTACATTAAAACGTTGGTGCCATCAAAGAAGTAAGCAAAACCAAGTGGTACCTAATTCACGGTGGTCCTCAGCAGCTTTAGCAGCTCCTCAGAACTTGTTAGAAATGACTCACTGGGGCCAGCAGGTGGCATGGTGGTTAAGGCACTGGATTCCCACATGGCCGACCGCAGTTTGAATCCCAGACCTGGTAGCTTGAGAATCACACCAGACACATGTGCATGCATACCCAAAATCCCAGGAGAAGAACAGAGGAGAAGGGATTCCAGCATGGAGGAGAAGGGATTCTAGCATGGCCATGGCCAGCCCTCTTGGGAAGATAATTTCTTTTCTTTTCTTCTTCTTCTTTTTTTTTTTTTTTTGAGAGGTTTTTGCTATAGGGTGTGTGCACTCGCCAGAAAGACAGAGAGAGACAGAGAGACAGAAAGTAGGAAATCACCCCCGGGGGGGATGGGCACACCGCAATTCCTTCTCCTCCATTCTCCTCTCAGGATCTTGGGCACGCACGCACATTCGCCCAGGGTGAGTTTAAGCCACCAGGTCTGGGACTTGAACCGCATTCTACTATATGGGAGTCCAGTGACATAGCCATTACGCCAACTGCTGGTCCCCAATTTTTTACTTTTGCTTTTTCCATTTCTCTCCAGTGCATGTGTAATGTCCTATGGCAAAACCCTAAAAAGAAAAGAAGAAATTGGAACTTACCTCAGACTTATTAAATCAGAAACTGGCCCTGGGGCCAGCAGTGTGACGTGAAGTCTGTCCAGGTGACTCCGGTGCCCATTAGAGACACTCCTCTAGGTTGTTCGGCTGCTTCTAGCCCTACACTGATTTATTTCTAATTTATTATTTTTCAGCCGCGCAATGGAAGAAGGTCATCCGGTTTTGTTTAAAATGGTACGTTTTCTATAAACAAGTAAAAATGAAATGTGTGTGTTTTATAATCCAACATAGTTTGAAATTTTCAATTGTTTTCAAATATTCACAAATTAAATGAGGCTCCATATGTCCATATTATTGCTTGCATGTATACATTCTAATGCTCTTTACAAACACTACAATTACGGGGCTGTGAGGGATCTATATGATAGAAAATACCAGTATTTGGGATCAGCAGATGGCATAGTGGTTACATTGCTGGACTCCCACATAGTCAACCATGGTTTGAGTCTCAGACCTGGTGCCTTAAAACTCACACCAGGCACATATGCATGCATGCCCCAAATCCCGAGAGAATGAAGGAGAATGGATTGCAATGTGGCCATCCCCTGGGGGGTGGGGAGGATTTCTTGCTTTCTGTCTCTCTCTCTGTTTCTCTGGCAAGCACACAAGTCCTATAACAAAAAAAACTCTCTAAAAAAAGAAAGAAAACATCAGTATTTGAGGGCTAGATTTGCTTTGTTCATGTATCAGTTGTAGAATTCACAGATTCCTCAAACTACAGCACAATAGTAATTATCATAACTGATACTGTAGACATGTCTTAGCTGTTCTTTTTTTAAAAAATATTTTATTTATTTAATTCCATTTATTATTAATTTTTGATTAGATCAGAGAGAGACAGAGAGAGAGAGAAAAAGGGTAAATGAGAAAGCAAACCGCCAGGTCCAGGACTCAAACTGCGGCTAGCCATGTGGGAGTCCAGCGCCTCAACTACCATGCCACCTGCTGGCCCCAAGTCTTATCTTTTCTTACGCAGTGCTGTGTGTCAGGGATTGAATTCTTGCTGCGGTGAACAGTGTCTAGCATAATAGGCCATCGTTTGCAAACTTACTGTAGTCTGTCTTCTAAATAACTCCTACTCAGATTCTTTTTTTTTTTTTTTTAAGTTTAGAAATCTTATTGGTATGAATGAGCTTTAGGAAACCATTTTGTAGTGATAAATACTGTAAACTTTTGTAACACACAGACATACAGAATAAGTGTTTCCTCAGAGACAGATTAAACTGTAGAGAGCTTAAAATGTACAGGCCAGCAGACGGCATGGAAGTGAAGGTGACTGGATCCCACATGGCTGACTGCACAGTTCAAGCAAGTCCCAGACCCAGCGGTTTGAAAAACACACTAAGTACTTGTACGTATGTGGCCCAAATCCTGAGGAGAATCGAGGAGAAGGGATTGTGGCGTGGCCATCTCCCCCACTCCTCCCCCCCGAGTGCTTTCTCACTTTTTCTCTGTCTTTGTCTGTCTGTCTTTGACAAGCATATGTACCTGATAGCAAAATATATATATTATATATACAGACTGAAGAACAGCTGGGAAGATCTCAGATGCCAGTGTTACTAAGACAAAATACTTCAAAGAAATGTCTATAATATACAAACGCTGTATATTATATTCACATTTTCATTTACTTTACTTTCATTCCGTTTCTTTTTTTTTTTTTTATAGGATGCCAACGAATTCTCCCTAGAAGCTACGGAACACAAAATGTACTGACACTTTGTTGTCTTCTCAAAAGCAACTCTTAAGTTCACTCTGCTGAAAATCTTTGCATTGTAAGCATTCTCAGTAAAAGTTGGTTGAGATTGTAAATATTTAATTTGTTGGAAATAAATAATGCATCTTAAAATATTGTTTCTAAGTGTTGTAAGGATGTTTCGTGTATAATAAAACTATAAATAGCACTGTCCCTTCGATCTCCAAAACTTTTGACAGTACCGGCACACACACTCTTAAAATATTTTTATTAGAGGCACTCAGCGAGAGCTGGATTGTAATGAGCTATTTTAGTTTATCCTACTTGGATTTTGTCAGTGACAAAAATCACTAACTTGTAAATACCAGAATGCTCTATAGCTAACTGTGGAATGTGAACACCCACTGAAACTATCCTCATTCGAGGATGTGGCCATGACCCCCCCAATAGCCCAGTAGGCAAGTTTTGATGTATGTATATACTACAAAATGAGTTTCTGTAGCTACGGATTTACTAGGGGCAGAATTTCCCTGCTAGCACCTAGTATTCAGATTGTCTTGTTTCCCCTGGCAGCATCTGAAAGGCAGCTAGCCTTGTCCATTACCAGGAAGATCATGATCTTGCTAGTGGACACACCTGGAGAGCTTCGCAGGTCCGTGTTCCGTGGGCACAGAATTAACCTCAAGTGAGGCTGAGTTTACCTCTCCCAGGTTTTCCTCGCTGTTTCTCTGACTCCCTCTTGGGTTCCTACTTTCTCCATTAAGACTGCTTGCTGATGGCCAGCAGATGGCATAACAGTTATGTCAGTAGACTCCCACAGGGTTGACCATGGTTCTAGACCCAGGCCTGGTAACCTGAAACTCACGTTAGACATGTGTGCGTGCGTGACCTAGATCCCAGGAGGAGGATGGAGAAAGGATTGTGGTGCTGCCATATCCCCTGGAAGGGGCTGATTTCTTGCTTTCTCTCTCACTCTCTCTGTCTCTCTGTCTCCGGCAAGCTCACATGCACTAAGACAAAAACTTGAAAAAAAAAAAAAGATTGCTTGCTGAGTAGAGAGAAATGGCTCTTTGAGTAAGTAGTTGGGTCTATATATTCCTTCTTTTTTTTTTTTTTTTTTTTTTTTTTTATATGGCGCGCGCGCGCCCCCCACATCACCAGAAAGACAGAGACAGAGAGACAGAAAGCCAGAAATCACCCCTGCAGGAGGGATGGCCACGCCACAATCCATTCTCCTCTATTCTCCTCTCAGGATCTTGGTAACACACCCACACGCACCCAGCATGAGTTTAAGCCACTGGGTCCGGGACTCGAACCATGGTCAACTACATGGGAGTTCAGCAACATAGCCATTACACCAACTGCTGGTTCCAGTTGGGTCTATATATTCTTCAGTGCAGAAAATCTAACAGGCATTTGTCTTCTAAAGTTGACCAAAGATTATAGCTTAAATTACATTTTTTAGTAACAAAGGTTGTGAATTTCACTTTTTATCAACCTAAGTGAAGAACATAAGAAGCAACAGAAGATGATAAAAAATACATTATTTTAAAAAAAAATGAATTTCAGGGCCAGCAGGTGGTCTAGGTGCAGGATTCCCACATTGACAACCATGGTTCAAGTCCCAGACCTGGTGGCTTGAAAATGATAATAAATAAATAAATAGATAATTTTTTTTTTTTAATGAATTGCTTTGACAAGGTGGAGACTTAAGAGCAAGGAGGGCCTATTGGTCTAAAGTCATGAATGCTACTTCTGTGAGCGGGGATTCAACCAGCCTGGATTTCAGATTCTCAAAATACGAAAAGAAAGTTGAATAGTAATTTAAGCAGCAGAATGCCTCTCAGAAGTCCCAACAAACAGGGACCAGCAGTTAGCGTAATGGCTATGTCGCTGGACTCCCACGTAGTCTACTGCGGTTTGAGTCCCGGATCCGGTGGCTTAAAACTCACGCCAGGCACGTGTGCGTGCGTGCCCAAGATCCCGAGAGGAGAGGGGAGGAGAAGGGATTGCAGTGTGGCCATCCCCCTTGGGGGATTTCTCACTTTCTATCTCTCTAACTCTTTCTGTCTGGCTGGCAAGTGCACGTACCCTATAGCAAAAAAAAACAAAACAAAAACAAACAAACAAACAAAAAAACTCTCCAAAAAAAAAAAGAAGAAGTCCAGACAAACATAAGTCAGTTACATTTTTAGAGCTTATAGGAAGACGAAAAAGAATTTTTGGGGGGGAGGCAGAGTGGGGGGAACAACAGAGGAAAATGAAAAAACAAAACATGGTTACCAAAACTATAGGTTTTTAAGTATTGATTTAACAAGTTAATGTCGCATACACAAACACAATAGTACACAGGGGCCCCTCGGGGTATAGGATTTGTATTGAGTAGTAACTGGGCACCAGAGTGGGCCAATGTTGAATCCAAGATTAAAACCATGTCATTAAAAACAATTTTGTACAGACAGCCCAAGGGGTGGTGGTTGGGGAGGCTGGATCCCACATGGCTGACTGTATGGTGTGAGTCCTGGACCTTGAGGCTCGAGAAACACACTGAGTGTGTGTGTGTGTGTGTGTGTGTGTGTGTGCCCTAAAGAAAAAAAATCCAAAAGAAAGACGTGGAAGAGAAGGAATTGTGATGTGACCATTCTCGGGGCGGGGGGAGTGGTGGCTTCCTCATTCCCCCACCACCACCACCTGTCTGTCCTGTCTGTCTGTCTCTCTCTGGTGAGTATGCATGTCCTTTGGCAAATTAAGAGAAAAAGGAATTGAAACAATTTCATATTCTTTTCCCACCAGGTATTTTCCTCATGACCCCAGCAGACCCCTGGAATGTCTTTCTCAGTTTAAACACGGAGGAGCCCACTGTCTAGCTCTCCTACCTGTACAGCCAGAGCTCCTGTCTCCTAGGACACTGGATTTTTAGGGTGGAGTGGGGAGCCTTCAGCCCCATTTGAGAATCTGTTGAAAGCTCTGGTCTTTAACTCCAGGAAAAAATGTACACATAGAACAAAATTAAGTGATGGGGAGGCGGGGTTGAGGGTTAGGAATTTCCTAAAATCTATCCAAATACGGGCTAGGAACTCCGGGTTAAGAACACCCGCTAAGTGGGTCTCTCCCCCAGCAGCCTGTTATTCTTCCGTGAAGATGGGACTAGGTGTCAAGGAGTGCCAGACTGGTGAATTTGGCTACAGTGGTGAGGGGAAGGGAGGGAGGAAAGCCAGCGACCCGGGCAAACAGGAAACACACTGCTTGGGAGGGGCGCCCCAGGACTGGCCCGCTCAGCACCCACCGCGTCCCCTTTCTGCAGTTGCCTGGCAACAGAGCGCAGGTGCACACGCGCCAAGCTTCCCTCCGCTCCATCTGCCTGGGCGTTGGAAACCGCCGGGCCTGAAGCAGGCTCTCCTCCCACCCAAGGGGGCTCAGTCCAAGCACCTCTGGGTCGGAGGGCTCAGCGCCCGCGAGGGACAGCATGCAGGTGAGGGGCGGGCCTGCACTGGGGGGCTGCGACTGGGCGAGGTGCAATACTGAGTCTGGGGGCCCACAGGGGTGGGGCCGGCATGTGTCCTTGGTCAGTGTTAAGTTCTGGGTTCGCCTCTGTCCAGTTTTGAGAGAAATCCAAGTTAACCCTAGGAGAATCATATTTTTTTTTTCTTTTTCTTTCTATCTTTTGTTTCCTGAGAAAAAAGAAAAATCACCCCCTGCGGGAATGGCCACCCACAACCCCTTCTCCTCCAGTCTCCTCTGGGAATTTTAGGTATCTATGCACATGTGCCTGGTGGTGTGTTTTTCAAGTGGTGCTGTCTAGGACTCCAGCTCACAGTCGGCCATCTGGGCTCCTGCTGCCTTAACTGCCATGTCACCTGCTGGTCCTAAGAATGCTATATACATATATAATACATTATACACACACATGTATAATGCATGTATGTATATATACACACATATAATATATAAATAGGTGTATATAGAAATATATAGATATATATTAAACTTTGAAGAGTGGGACCAGCAGATGACATAATCCTCACATCACTGGACTCCAATGTAGTTGACCACGGTTAGAGTCAGGACCAGGCCGACCAGCAGTTAGCATAATGGCTATGTCACTGGACTCCCATGTAGTCGACCATGGTTTGAGTCCCAGACCCGGTGGCTTAAATTCACGCCAGGCAGATGTGCGTGTGTGCCCAAGATCCTGAGAGGAGAAAGGAGGAGAAGGGATTGCGGTCTGGCCATCCTCCCTGGGGTGTGATTTCTCACTTTCTGTCTCTCTATCTTTCTGGCAACCGCACATGCCCTATAGCAAAAACCTCTCAAAAAAAAAAAAAACACACCAGGCACATGTACATGCGTGCTCAAAGTCCAGAGAGGAGAATGGAGGTGAAGGGACTGTGGCATGGCCATCTCCCCCTGAGGGGTGATTTCTCACTTTCTGTCTCTCTGGAGAGCACACGGGTCCTATACCAAAAGTCCCTCTGAAAACAAAAACAAAAACAAAAACAAAAACAAAAACAAAAACAAAAACATTGAGGAGTGTGGTTTGTCCCTGGAGGAAAGTTGGGGCTGTCAGTATTGTATGTCACACCTGAATCCTGGAATTCTTACTGTTCACCGTTCACTGTTACTGACTAAAGAAACCGATCAGTGAGGTTAGCCCAGGCATAATTCAATTTTATTTTCCACTCCTTAAACAAAAGACGGGGGTGATGGGGAGGGGGGATGGGGATGACTGGCAGGTGGCAGGGTGCTGGACTCTCTCACATGGCCAACCACGGTTTGAGTCCTGGACCTGGCGGTTTGGTTTCTCACTTTCCCTCTCTCCTTGTCTCTCTCTGGTCAGATTAAAAAACAATAATAATAAATAAAATGTTTCAAAAAGTCAGCGTTCAATTCTAGTTGTCGCCTGTGTTAAGAAAGACCAGCTGACCCTGGAGTTGGCCCTACTTGACGCAAAAGCTCTGTTAGGCTCCCAGTCATTCCTTAGAAGGCAGCAGCTCTGAGCTGTCCTTGTCAACTAGAAGCCTGTGCTTCTTTTTTTCTTTTCTTCCTTTCTATTTATTATTTATTTATTTTCAGCACAGTAAAATGTTCACTTTTTGTCTTACAGTTTTTTCCCACTCATTCACCCAAAGTAAAAACACTGGAGTTTATCTAGCTTTCCATTTAATTTTAGTATTTGTATATACTGTTGACTTTATTCTGATATTTCGGACATAAATTACATATAGTTTTTAAGGGGTAACCTTTTATAGTAATAACAGATTCCTAGCAAGTACAGTTTATGCACTGTAAACACCTGGCAAATTAAAAAAGAAAAAAAAAAACTAGAATGCATGAAATGAAATTTTTAAAAATTGCAAATGTGTCCTGATTCGCACCTGCTCTGTAGGAATTAGGCCACGGTGTAATTGAGAGTGAAGGCAACATTAACCTTTGTTGTTCATTTATTCACGACTTTATTCAGCAGCCAGTTATTCAGTACTTAATTGTTTAATATTTGGATCCATTCTGAAAGTGTTTACTTTGAAAGAATAAGAAAGAGGCGGAGAAAGAAACTATTTATGGGATGGTAAATACCGTACTAGTTTGAGAAAAAAGACTGTGGTGCTTATTTCTGATAAAAATTTCATAGATATTTCTAAAAGCGAAGGCTTATGAGAATATAAGAGTATTTACCATTACATTAAGTCTCATTGCAACTAACTCCTAGATTAGTAAGGAAGAGTAATCAGAGAGGGTGAATCAATGCATAAGAATGTGATGTCCTGGGACCAACAGACGTAATGATTATGTTGCTGGACTCCCATATGGCCAACGATAGTTCGAGTCCTGAGCCTGGCAACTTGAAACTTACACTGGGGGCGAGTGCATGCATGCCCAAAATCCCAAGAGGATAATGGAGAAGAAGGAACTGTTGCATGACCATTCCCCTGAGGAGTGATTTCTTGCTTTCTGTCTTTCCAGCAAGTGCATGCATCCTATAGCAAAAATCTCTCTCTAAAAAAAATGTGATGTGATGAATATAAAGAGTATTTTAACAAGAAAAAAAGTGATTAACTCTCAAGTTCTGCTTAAAAGATCAGATAAAAATGAATATTCATCTAAATGAGCAACATGGAGGTCACAGTTAACCTTAGAAGTAGTTCTGAAGGAGTATAGGAGGCAGAAGTCAATGTTGGAATGTGTTGAAAAATGAATAAGAGGTGGAGAGCGCAGCCGCGCGCCGGGAACGGCCTGGCCGGCCGCCCCCCCACTGGGGGGGTGGAGGGCCACGCGGCCAGGGGCTCCCGCCACCCAGCGCAGCCAAGCGCCTCTCCCTGCCTCTCCCTGCCTCTCTGGCGCGGGATGGCCCGGAGGCCGAAAACAAGGTTGAAGAACTTGCAACTTAAGAAGATGATAGCTACCAGCCCTGCATTACCTCAGGGGAAAACAAGAACTACTCTGCCATTCTTAAGGAAGCCAGATACCCAAGGA